TTCTGCTGTCTCATGCCATTCCAGGGTGCCAGGGAAAGCAGAGGGTGAGTGGAATTGGCTTTCCTCATTATGAAGAAGTCTGCATAGCCCAGTCATTAAGCATTGTTCTTTCTTATAGCTACAGGTACACCTTTTGGTGTTAAAATCAATATTTGCCTGAGGCCAAAGCCTGAAACATCATTAAAAATAAGTTTTAAAATATGGAAATAGAAATTGTATTTTATTATTAGTTTAAACATTGCTTAATTATCTCTTTGAGGTAATAATTTTGAGGTAGCAAAGCTGACCTTTTACTGTGTGTGTGTGTGTGTGCACACGCTATTTTATTCATTTGCTCTGCTGGGTTATGGGTTTTTTTTATTTCTTTTTTATTGACATACATCACTGTATTAGTTTAAGGCATACAGCATGATCATTTGAATTACATATGTTATGAAATAATAGTTGTAATAGGGTCAGCTAACATTTATCTCATATAGATACAACATAAAGAAGCTGAATTAATTATAACTATATTTTTATTTTGCCAAAGGTTCATGGAACACCTTTTAAGTGCTGGACATCTGATTGGCTTAGGATCTACAATCATGAAAAAGAATAAAATAACCTTGTTTGATTTACAGTTGGGTAACTCGAATGCCTCGGGTTATTTACCTATTGTATTACCTAATTCAAAACAGTTCAAACCTTTTACCTACTTAATGCAAGAATTTCAATATTTTATCAGCTTGCCCTCTTGCACACTTTTTTGAACAACTGAGATACTCCAACAAGTCAGTTGTTATTCACCATCTCAACCAGCTGCCTGGTCTGGACCACTGGTCATTCTTTTGTCAGTAAGTAACATCTGCAGCCTCCTGCTGCTGCTTTCCCATTCAGGGCTGTAACCCTGGGTGCCAGTCCAGACTCACACAATTTCCCACACTATTACAAAGATCAGCTGTGATGTTTACATGACTTCACTCATGGCTTTAGGATTTCAAAAGAAAAAAGGGAAGAAAATATAAGTGGAGAACTCCATTCTTGTTACTAGATATGGAGATTCTCTGAGTTCACAGACCAAAGCCCTCCCCTGCCACCCTTTCTGTAGGCATCGCTATTATGCAGTCTTCTCTGCCCAGGCTCAGGCCCATCTCCATGTTTCAGGGATCCATTAACTTTCCCACAAAGGGAATGACTAGAACAAGTCTCTAATACCTGGATCACACAGTCACCTGTCTCCCAAGCCCAGTGACAGCAGTTACAGGCTCATCCCTCTACCGGTCTATTTCCTGCTCCTGTGAATCATTTTAGATGGACACTGGAAAGATCTCTTCCTTTGTGGCAATCCTGCACCCATCCACAGAGGTATGGTCTTTTCTTTTTAGGTCTTGAGAGAATTCAGAACATCGGTACTTTTCCCAAAGTTGAGTTGATGAATCTGAAATGATCACAAATATGGGGCTTAAAAGGTGTAGTCCAGTTTGAGCATCAGCAATCTCTGGTTGTTCTTTCTAAGGTAAGAGGCATTCATGTGCTTACTGGATTCCAGTCCCCACCCATCTCTTCTGGTGAAGTGCTTGAACAAGAAAACACATCTCCCAGTAGCTAACAAAAACTTTTAGGGACAACAACATTTAAATTGACTTGCAGAAGGAAAAAATGTGTGAAAAAATATATAATTTGCAGAGATGATTCTGTGCTGCAGTGAAAACAACTTTTTATATAATTATTAAAAGCAGATTAAGCTCCAGAGACCATATTAGCTCCAGAGTCTATGGTTTACCTTCATATCTCCACTTAACTGGATGATCCTTTAAGAGGTTTTCCCCAAAACAAAAGAGCAGTGTGCCCCAAAGCTGAATTTAAATCTTTTCCTCAAGGGAAACTAACTGCTAGAAACATTAAAACATCAGTTTCTCTTATTCAGCAATTAGTGTCAAAATCTCTTGCGATTCACTTTAGGCCAGAGCACCCCATTAAGATCTATTTTACTAGATATAATTCAATAAGGTGTCAGTAGGCCATCAGAAAAAAAATCTCAGATAGATGAACTGCCTACTGAAATCAAGCACTAAGCAATAATTTCAGCCCAATACAATGAAGTTAAAATGCTGTGGAAGTGTGCTCAGAGTACCTTGGGGGCTGGTAAGCAAAGAATTCTCCGGAGTCACTCTCCTGAGCAAGAAGCAGTAATGTTGCTTCCTCTGGTTTATTTTAAGCTCTTTATTTTTTTAAGATTCTTTATTTTATTAATTTTTTAAACCACTGTAGTTCCCATATATGAATTCTATTATAACATAAATATTGAAACGTACCAAAAAATGAACATATTCTACTGACCTCTTAATTTTCCCAAAAATTGTATTTTTGGGAAATTATAATTTTCCCAAAGGTTGTTGTTTCTAGCCTGATACCCAAGAAGTCAACTTTTACCTTCCTTCTCTGTGTGTTTTTATCTTGGCCAACTAGGATTAATAAATTGGGGCTTGGTGGACAGAACACATATTCCCCACCTCCCAGGCAGGACTTCTTTCCTACAGTGCCTCATTTCATTTTAAAGCTTTCTAACTACTTAAAATAAATAGATATTTAAATAAATCTAAAGCATGACTTTTTCTAGGACAAATAGCAATCAGAAAAGCACAGGTAAATAAACAGGTTTTATCTTTTATAAGATAGTACAAAGTCTTTTTTTTTTTTAGATTTCAAATTTAAAAGTCATGAAGTATGTCATGTTCTTGTGAACTACAGTGTGTTAATTAGCACTGGGAAAGGCCAGCCATGTCCAAAAATGGTAAATATTAAGACTAAAGTGTCATTAGTCCTCAGCTGAGTCAAGGATCTTGGTTGCTTGAGCTGAAATGTAACACTCAGACTTCAGTGATTCAATGAGAGGGTGTCTGACCTGGCCTTGCCAGGTTAAAAGTTTTTTGTTTTCCTTATGTTTTACAATGGAGTGGTTTTTCTAGACAGGGAATGATATATTAATGATGAACTCTTTTTAAAATTTCTCTCTTTATCAATTAGTTCAGTTAATTCTTAAGATACATTTTAGTATTTTAAGAGAGAACATATAGTAATAGAACATAACTTTTATATAGCACAGACATTTTCTAAAGTTTTATGAGAAAAATGGTTTTGTGACCCCATAATATTTTTGGTTTAGGGAATAAAAGAAAAAATATTGATATATGTGCAATTTAAATAAATTTCTTTTAAATCTCAGCTACAGGAATTGCTTAAACCTGATTTATGTATAGTTTGAGTAGATTTTTAAGGAGGATAGCTGCCTTTGTGGAGAGCTAACAGGGATAGATTCATTTGGAAAACTTTGTAAAATAGAGTTCCTTAAAATGGTGGCGTCAGTGTAAAGTGTCCATGGGACAGATAGGCTTTACATATCAAAATGAGGAACTTTCTAACAATTCTCTGAGGATTATGATTTAGCCTGTGGTATAATGCATTAGGGCACTTTGGTATAGGGTGTATGGGTGTAAATGAGGGGTTCTTTCTGGCACGCTGTATGAATATAATCAATATATGTCTTCATGGTCATACCCTGTGCTATAACTCATTTTCAACGGGTGAACACTCCAACTATGGACTAGTCTCTACTTGCTCCTTCCTTCCCATAGAGCTCCGTGCCAACTTGGATCAACACAACTTCTCAAAGCCAATATTTTTCAACCTCCTGCGTTTTTTCCATAGGCAGAAATCCTTCACAAGCCATGATCCTTTGTTTATCTGAATCCTTCATGGCACAGTACTGTCCACCTCAGCTAATTCTTTCACTTGCATCCCCCTTTTTCCTTACGTTTTGACCGGTATTCCTAGACTCTTGTACTCCTCTTTCTTCCATGAGAGTGTCATTTTCTTTATTCTAATTGACAACCAAAAACCTGGCAATAATTGCACTAAGTATGAAAATCCTGGTAATCCTGGTATTGCTAAAATGAAGAAATTATATATGTTACAGTAGAACTGAACAAGATACAAAGTCAAGGCTGTCTTCATCAGCTAAGGTTCTTGAGGTACTGAAAAGTCTCCTTTAAAATCTTCACCGAAGTTATAATCTATCACTATATCCTTAACTAAATAAATGAAAAACATAAGCACTTAAAAGTAAAGAAATTATGTCTTAATCTGTTTTACTCTTTTTCAATTATTACTTTACCATATATTGCATTTCTATTATTTTGTATTTAAGATGTGTTGTGCATTTCAACCTCATAAACGGTTAAATTGATATGTATGGGGCTATTCTGGAAACCTAAGTACAGTTTGTTTCACTACATCTAGAAGAAAATATGTTCAAATTCCCTCTGGCTTTTGGAACACAACCAAATAGAAGGTTGCAGACATACTGTGTTTTAGTCTTTGTTACTTGCCTCCTCCACTGGTTAGGGCTTGTGTCTGTTTGCAGGTGTGCACCTGTGTGTCTGTTATATACACCTTTCACAGTTCTGGGTTCATAACATCATTTATTCCTTCCTTTCTTCAATAGATGTTTGAATTCCTATTACATAAAAGGTCTGTTTTAGGCCTAAGGGATATCCAGAAATGAGGTTATGGCTCTCAGAGAATTGACACTCTATTGGAGAATAGACATAAACCAAATAATTGCACAATCACATATAAAATGCACTGGTAATAGATGCTATGAAGCGAGGCCACACAGCACTATTCAAGCATGGAACCAGAGATGTGCCTTGTTTCCAGGCTCAGGCTGGTTTCCTGGAGAGGGTGCTGCTCCAGCTAAGATCTCAGGACTTAAGAGAGAAAGGGCCTTGAGAAGTGATGGGGGGAGGGGTAAAGATGGAGTTGAAAGTGCTCCAGATAGAGGGAGCTCATGTTCAAAGACCTTATTGCTCAGTTAGGTTCTCTTGATAATTTTTTCCAAGAGTGACCACTGTGTAGCTGGGAGACTTTTAGTTTCAACCATATAGTGAACATTAATTGTAATCATGCTAGGAAACAAGAAGGCACATATTTCACAAGCAGTGATCCCTCTTTTTCAGGTATGAAGTACTACTTAAGCCCTGACAACTACCCTGAAGATGGAATTATGAATATGGCAACTTTTCTGCGGGGCTTTGAAGACAAGAGGATAAAAAACGACCGGCCTGAGGACCAGTTCAGTAAAGAGAAAAAGAAAATCCTGTTCTCCTTCTGTGAGGTGTGCAACATCCAGCTGAACTCTGCCGCCCAAGCCCAGGTCCATTACAACGGCAAATCCCACCGCAAGCGCGTCAAGCAGCTGAGCGATGGGCAGCCTCAGCCCCCGGCTCAGGGTGCGGGGCCGCTGCTGGCCAGCCCCAGCGCCACCAGCACAGGTAGGCAGGAGGGCCGATTACACTGGGAGGAAAGCTTCTGTTCTAGAAAATGAAGGCTTTAGAGCAAGACTTATCTTCCACCTTAAAGCTACCCCCATAATAATATGTATTCTTTTCCCTACAGGTAAAATCCAAGAGCTGTTTGTTACTTCTCAGTATATATTTATGATTATCACATACATATTATTTTAGACACAAATGCATATATATATACACACACACACAAAATTTGCGCACTGGGCCATTGGCTTGGTTCCGTACCTCCAGAGTGTGTGAGCATTTCTTAAAGTATTTTAAAATGTGTTTAAAATGGATCCGTGACGTCAATTTTTTGCTCTCTGTAAAATTAGGCTATGTTGGGTTCCCTCTGCCTGTTTTCTATTGGGTAGCATACTACTTGATAGTGTATAAAAAGCTGCAGCCCTATTTATAACACCCCACGATGCAGGAAAGGAGCATTAATCTTGTGTGGTAGACTCGTTACATTCTTTTAGAGAGTTGCCAGCCACAGTGCTTTCGTGTGTGTGGGGGGGGGTGTTCTAACAATAGGAACAGGCATTGCCAAAGCCAGCCAGGCGTACCTCTGAGATCTCACCACCGCAGCACTTCCCTGCCTCTTGCCTCTCACCCTTCCCATGGGCTGGGTACAGGCAGAAGCTGAGGGATTTTTGCATTCCTGCATCTGCCCTGAATTCTAAACAGACTTTAAAATCTTTTATCTTATCCTTGGGCAGAGCTTCCTCCGCCTCCACATTGCTGGGATGGCATGTCTTTACTGTGACATAACTAAAGACGTGTTATCCAGGGTGAAGATTCTACAAAAAGTGAACCTCCTACCCAGGTTTACCCGGGAGGCCAAGACAAGCCTCCTCCTGCCTGTGGGGGAAGAGCTCCAAATTCCACTCTAGCCCCGTCTGCTCTGGTGACAGGCAGACCTGAAGGGAGATGATGTTGGAATTTCACGCGGGGCTGTTCCATAGTTCTTGGTTTTGTGAAGTTATGACATGATCCTTATGAAACTCCAGGGTAAATTGTTTGTATGTGTGCTGTAGATACATATTTTTTTATATTTCAAATTAACCTAACTCCTTTATAGCAATTTAATTTCAGTATATAATTTCCCCAGTCGATGCTGGTCATGCGGTGAAAGACTTACAGGAACTTATAGGATGCACGCTTATTAGGGAAATTATTTTTTTCATTTTGTGTTTATGTATAATTATAATTATTATCAGTATAAATACTGACAGGTAACATTAATGTATCTGTACTTTACATATCAAAAAATTAATTTACATATTAAAAATATAGTTGGTGTTAGGTTAAGACTGATTTCTGTTTTATATCTAAATCAAGGAACAAATAACTTCGAGTAAAGGTTTGAATTACATCCAAATATCCATGCCTAAAATGAGGTTAATCTATAGCTTCTGATAAGTAATATTAGTAGCTTACATTACCTGAGCATTTTCTAAGGGCCATATTCTGGTCCTAAGTAGCTTATAGGAATGTTCTCATTTAATCCTCTCATCAACCCTGAGGTAGGTACTATGATTATTCACTATTTACAGACTAAGAATGGAGACACAGAGGGATAAAACCACCTGTCCAAGTTCATATGGCATGGAAATGGTAGATCTACTAGTAGAGTTCCTACCATAGTTAATTAATAGAGAGGTGATTATTCTTCATCACTATTTTCCTCCTGTTTCCTGCCATGCAGTAACACTCAGGTTAAATTCAGACCTGGTGCTGTCATATGTTGTGGTCATGAATGGTTGCTTGCATAGCAAACTCTTTCACTTTGATGGGTCTTGAAAATAGACATGTAAATCTCGATCCCCAGTGTTCTTTCTTGTCCTCCCATGCTAGTGAAATTAGATGGCTGACATAAAATAAGTTTAGCCAAGATATATACAAATAATTATGAATGTATTCTATAAGTAAAACATAGATCATCTTCTAGAATAACACAGTATACTAGTATTAATATATAGAAAAATGGATAAGAAAATGAGACAGATTTTCAAGTTTATATATTGGGCATAAAGGACAATTTTCATATATTGATTTCAGTATATTAAATGTGTCCTGAATATCCAATAGGAGGAAGATTAAACACCTAATAGTACACTTATAAAATGACAGAAACCATAGTCATTAAATTTATCTTTCTGGCCCAGCCGGTGTACCTTTATGGTTGAGCATTGTCCCATGAACCAGGAGGTCATGGTTCAATTACTGGTCAGGGGACATGTCTGAGTTATGGGCTCGATCCCCAGTAAAGGGCCTGCAGGAGGCAGCCGATCGATGATTCTCTCTCATCATTGATGTCTTTATCTCTCTCTACCTCCCTCTCCTTTCCTCTCTCTGAAAATCAATAAAAACATTTTAAAAAATTATCTTTCTGAGGAATACCTAATGACAGGGGAAACTGTCCATGATATTATGCTAAGTGAAACAGCAGGAACTTAAGTGGATTATACCTTAGTGTTGCTATGTGTCTGTGCATGTTATCCGTGTTTAGAGTCTCCACTCAACGAGAAGCAAGCCTGACATGGTTTTATTTTTTCAGTCACTTTCCTCAATTTTGATCTATCACATGTCTGTTTCCTGCTGGGTAGTGGCTTCCTTACCACCTTTTCTGCCCAGATCTTCTCAATTTTGTATTTTCAGAGGGACTGTTTGATTTAGCAGATTCGGTTTTATTTATAAAAACTTCCATGCCATAACCAAATTAAGATACGATTAGCCAGACCCTAAAGTCTAGAGTGAACGGTGGGGCACAGTTGGCTCTCACGCTGCTCCTCTGTCTACCTGTCCTTTCACCCAGGAGGTGGGGAACCATGGACGAATGGTGGGATGGAGGTGTTCTTGCCTTATAGACTTGGCAAGGCTGCGATGCTGTTCTTGGTAAATGATTGCTATTCTGGTTATCTCTGTGGGTCATAGGTGCTCCTAACAGACCTTGTGCTCCCTTGAGAATTGGAGTCCCTGATATCTAGCTGCATCTGCCAGCTCACCCCCAGTTGAAAACAAAAGGCTCCATTTCTCAACAACATGTACCTCTGTTTTCCACATTGCGGCAGATGGTGATATTGTGTCCTCTCTTTTCATTTACATACCAACTACTAGGGCTCGAGGTCATATACAGAACCAATCTGACAACTAACATTCCTCTTGAAAACTCAGAGCTGCTGGGGCCCAGGCAGGTAGAGTTGGAGTGGGGTGTGGGGGCTCCTCTATATTTCACTTCTCTGCTCAAGTAGCATAGGGAAGACCGGCAAGTCCATTGACAAAGCAGGCACCTAATTATGGAACAAAATGCTAGTCTCCCTTTTATGCCAATTGCTTGGCTATAGGGGTGTTATGGGCTGAATTTTATTTCCCCTTCAAAAAATGTTGGAGCCCTGACCCGTTTGGCTCAGTGGATAGAGCGTCGGCCTGCGGACTGAAGGGTCCCAGGTTCGATTTCAGTCAAGGGCATGTACCTTGATTGTGGGCACATACCCACTGGGGGGTGTGCAGGAGGTAGCTGATTGATGTTTCTCTCTCATCGATATTTCTAACTCTTTATCCCTCTCCCTTCCTCTCTGTAAAATATCAATAAAATATATTTTAAAAAAATGTTGGGGTCTTAATCCTCAGTATTTTTTAATGTAACCTTATATGGAGATAGAGTTTTTACAGAGGAAATTAATTTAAAATGAGGTCATTAGGATTAGGTGAGCCTAATCCAATGTGATAGATGTCCTTATAAAAGGGGAAAATTTTTAGGAATTTATAGAGACAGACACACACAGAGGGAGGATGATATGAACAGAAACAGGAACAAGAGGGCCATCTGCAAACCAAAAAAAGGAGGCCTAGAACTGATTTCCCCCTCCGAGTCCTCAGAAGGAACCAACCCCGCAACACCTTGATATCAGCCTTCTAAGCTCCAGAACTGTGAAATGACCAATGTCTATTGTTAAGCCACCCAGTTTTGAGGTACTTTGTTACAACAGCCCTAGCCAATTAATAGAGGGAGGAAAATAAAAACCTATTTTCTCCCCAAAGGACAGAAGATGCAATAATAGAGATAATTTTCCCCATAACTGTTAATTTTAGAGGTGACTTCCCCTCCTCTTTGTCAATGTTATTATATTGTTGGGGTTGGCAGGGCAAGGGTAGGAGTTGGCATCAAGGAGTGATGGTTGAGACTTGAGCCACTTCTCTGAATTAGTGACTGACACCTAACCACCGGCAATTCTTCCAGTATACTTAGCAGTTAGGGTGTTTACAGAACATTTAGATCTCAGCTTCTGGAAGAACAGGAGGATTCTCAGAGTGCACCCAAAACCATTCCTTGTGTGTGTGTGTGTGTGTGTGTGTGTGTGTGTGTGTGAGAGAGAGAGAGAGAGAGAGAGAGAGAGAATAATTTTTTTCCTGAGAGGATTAATGATAAGTAGCAGCAAGACCACTTTCCCAGCACTGTTCCCAACCAAATATTGTAAGAATACTCTGGGCAGCAAAAACGAATCAAAGGGGAAGCACAGAGACCTCAGATAACTTAGCCTGTATGTGAAGGGTCCTTGTTCCTTTCCCAGCCAGTCCCAAGGGGTGGGTGGAAATAACAGAAACCACAGGTGGCTTTAGACAAAGTAGTTGCATGCTTCTGTTCCTCAAAAGGTATACAAACTGTAAGACCCTGGTGTTCCCAGCCCCTACCAAGGGTGGGCAGATGGACCCGAGGCAGTCTCCTGATTTTCTGTGGGCTTAGTGAGCATGGAGGCTGCTGAGTGAAATTGGGATAGAACTAAACAGTGCTAAGAGAAGAATTTATAGCACTAAGTGCTTATATTAAAAGCTGTGATGCATTTATACCATGGAATACTATGCAGCAGTAAAAAAGAAGGATCTCTTACCCTTTGAGACAGCATGGAGGAACCTGGAGAGTATTATGCTGAGTGAAATAAGCCAGCAAGAGAAAGACAACTATCACATGATCTCACTCATGTGTGGAATCTAAAAAACAAAATAAACTGATGAATTAAATAGATCCAGAGACACAGAAGCATGGAACAGACTGATGGATCTCAGAGGGAAGGTGGGGGTGGGTGGGTGGATGGGAAGAGAATAACCAAAGAACTTATATGCATATATGCATAACCCATGCACACAGACAATAGTGTGGTGAAGGCCTGGGGTGGGGAATGGGTGCAGGCTAGAAGGGGTCTATAGAAAAAAAAGAGGGGGACATCTGTAATACTTTCAACAATAAAGATAATTTTTTAAAAATAGAATGTCATATATGCCTCATTTTCCCTTTCTGTCTCTGAACCTCCCAATGTATGTGGAATTCCCGTATGGATGTATGTACAAATTAAATTTATTTTTTTGCCTTTATTGATGAAGGTATTACAAATGTATCCTTATCCCCCCATTGTCCCCCCATCCCCCCACTCATGCCCTCACCTGCCGGTGTCTGTATCCATTGGTTATGCTTATATGCATGCATACAAGTCCTTTGGTTGATCTCTCCCCCTTAGCCCCACCCTCCCCTGCCTTCCCTCTGAAATTTAATTATTTTATCTTGAAAAAAAAAAGAAATGATAAAAGATCTCCAATAAATACATCCCTACCTCAAGAAGATAGAAAAAAAGAGAAAAAAATTAACTCAAAGCAAGCAAAGCTAAACAAATCTGAAGAAGTTTGGTAGTTTATATTAATATCATCATCCTGATTGTGATATTTTTCTGCAGTTTTACAGAATGTTGCCATCAACTGAAGCTGGATAAAGTGTTCAATGGAACTCTCTGTATTTATCCAACTGTGTGTCAATTTATAATTACCTCAATATAATTTTCAGTTAAAAAAGTCATAATAAAGGTGACCACCTAAAATGTCCAGTCTTCTAATAGCATTATCACAGATGACAATGAGCAAAAATTTGGGGGTTTGGCTTTTTAAAAATTATCATGTCTACTTTAAAGAGATTATTACTAAAACACAATCTCTTTCTTTTTTTAAGATAAGTGTCAAGAGAACCTAGATATCTAAATAAATTAATGATAGTATGGTATGCTAAGAACAATAATAGATCTATATATAAGCTAGGTGTGGCACAGAGAAAGGAACAGTTAACTTTATAGAGGTTAGGAAAGACTTCCTAGGGGTGTTATTTGAGGTTAATATACAAAAATAACTTTTGAGTTATTCAAGAAAAAAACATCATTTCAGGTAAAGGGATATCAAAGCAAATGCATGTAGGAATAAATTATAAATCATTTCTT